TGCCTTGAAACCCCCTTCCCCCCTCGACTTCCCCCTAACCCTCCCCATGTGGCGCAAATTGTGTTCCTTTACCCACTCCGTTCCTCAACTGGTGCACTCATCCTCCTTTCCCGTCTCAATATTCTGATGTTGTTATTATCTTACCTTGTCCTTGTGAATCATGCTCATGCTCCTTATCTTCCTCGTCGTCTTCATCAATCAGCGTGGTCATGGAGGGGGTGCTCTCTCTCTCTCTCTCTCTCTCTCTCTCTCTCTCTCTCTCTCTCTCTCTCTCTCTCTCTCATCGGATTTTCACCGACTCATCAGGAGGCTGAACCCCGACTGTCTGCCCAAGATGCATTTGTGTGCGTGTGTGATGTCACGTAGGATATACACATTCGAGAGAGTTAGTGCACCAAGCCCATAGCACCCAGCACGTGACACCGAGCACCAAGCACGTAGCCCCGACCACCAAGCACCAACCATGATGCACACTGACCACCAAGCACCGACCACGACACGGTGCACCAAAGCATGAGAAAGAGTACGCGGGAGTATGCACGGGAGCAGGAGCGTCGAGCAGCCGCGAGTGTAGGCCCATCAAGTAGGTGGAGGTGTAGGAGCGTCAAGAAGCCCCGTGCATCGAGCGGGCGCGGGAATAGAGCGGTCACCCACAAAAGAAATGAAAATGTGGGCCACTTGGCGTTTTTGAGGGCTGGGCGGCCCTACCGGTTGTCCAAGGATCGCGCGGCGATCCAAGCCGTTCCCGGCCCGACCGCCCCGATTGCCCCGCGATCTTAAAGTTTTAAGATCGTGGGGCAATCCAGGCCCTGGGGTTGGTAGGACCACGAACGACCTGGATCGCCGCGCGATCTTAAAATCTTCGCGGGGCAATCCGGGCCGTTGGGCCAGTAGGTCTGCAGACGGCCCTGATGCCAAAATTCTCACATTAGAGATTTTAACAAGCGTAGGGAAGGAGCGTGGAGACGCTTCTCTTCAGCAGCAGCAGCAATCACAGGCAGCAGGAGGAGGAGAGGTAAGAAGGTTACACGTCAATCATGGTAGAGTATGTGGGATTTAGCTTGCAAGCATTGCTTGGTAGTATCTCCACTCCCGGCAAAGACCAACAACAAAAAACTAATGGTAACAAACAGTGAAAGCACGCATAAACAGGTAAACGTGTTGCCGACTTAAAAAAAGTATTTCCACAAGGCACAAGAAGAGCCAAAGACAGTTGCATCCACAGCCTCTTCACGGAGATAGCGCTTGGTCAGCCGCATCTGGCCTGAAAGCAGGCCAGGTGCACTGGAGCAGGTAGCCCGACCAGTTCAGCTACGACACATTGTTGTGGCTGGATTAAGGACTGCTCTAGCGATTATGGGCACTCTATAGTAGGTTTTATTGATGGGACTAGTTTCCTGAAGTTACTGCCTCTCTATTACAGAGGTTTGGCTGACTCTGCCTTACGGCACGTTCATGTGGCTAGGTTCAAGACTGTTCAAGTGGTCATGGTTGTCCCTGGATAAGTAGGCACTCTATAGTAGATTTTATTGATGTGAGTAGTTTCCTTAAGTAACTGCCTCCATTGTACATGGTCTGCTACTGTTTCCTCAACCTCTTTTCTCAAGGGTATCACTAACTTTAGGGAAGGTGATCGGTCAGTCATCCACCAGTTAACAGCATCCGGGACAGACCGTCAGTCCAACCTCCTGATCAGTTGGTGACCGTCTGATGAAACAATCGGAGAGAGAGAGAGAGAGAGAGAGAGAGAGAGAGAGAGAGAGAGAGAGAG